CGGAAGAGTAAGAGTGAGAAACACCCCTGGGCTGAGATAAGAACAGTTAATAATTGGAATAAAGTAAAGTAGTAATGATAATAATAATAATATAATAATGATAATAATAATAACAATATACAAAGCAAGTGATGCACAATGCAATTGCTCACCACCCACTGACCAATACCCAGACAGTTCCCAAGCAGCAATCGCTGGTCCCCGGCCAACCCCCCCAAGTTTATATACTGAGCATGACGTCACATGGTATGGAATAGCCCTTTGGTCAGTTTGGATCAACTATTCTGGCTGTGCCCCCTCCCAGTTTCTTGTGCGCCTGGCAGAGCATGGGAAGCTGAAAAGTCCTTGACTAGCATAAGCAGTACTCAGCAACAACTAAACCATCAGTGTGTTATCAACATTCTTTTCCTACTAAATCCAAAACACAGCACTATGCCTGCTACTAGGAAGAAAATTAACTCTATCCCAGCTGAAGCCGGAACGCAGAAAAAGAAGGTACTTGTAGTAAAAGGTCACAAAGACAGAGGCAGGGCATTATGAGAAAAAAAAAAAAATAGAGATCAATCTAGGTTTTTTTTCCAGAAAGCAAGGAGCTCTCTAGAAAGAAAGAACACGAAGTCCATCAGCAACCCATAACCTAGACATATTGCATATGTAGGTAAGAACTCAGAGATGGCTGTCTGTGCATTTCACATTTCTCTGAATTATTTTAGAACAATTATCCATAAGCAGAACAAGTCTATGAGGAGAAAAAGTGTGCTTAGTGACAGCTCATCCTTTACATACCTAGCTCAGATTCTCATACGGCCTCATTACTCCGCCTGACTTTTTTGTAGTATGTTTATCCTCACAGCGGCCTGAAGAAGTAGGCAGAGACTGTTTTCCCAAGTCTGCAGAGCATAATCACCCTGTCCACGGCCACAGAGCAGGCTTGTGGTATTGACTTGAACTCAGGTTATTGAACAAGTGAGCTGTTGTCTCTCTGTAGATCACAGACTTTTCAAAGTATTAAGAGTTTTTTCATTTTTTGAAACAGTAAATTCTGATATGCCCCAAGATGTCCAAGGCTCTCGATCAGTCATTCAATGTGGCCATAGAGAAAAGAAAATCTATTTTTTTCCCCCAAAAATACTTGAAGAATTCAAAGTTTCAGTTGGAAGGGCAAAGCTACACTGTGCAATATTTGATCAGTGAAACTCAGGTTGAAATGAGACAAAAAGAAACAAAATCCAAGAAGTAGGTACTTGATCCTCTCTGCCCTTCCCACAGCACCTCCATTACCTTTGCCTGGCAAAGGAGGAATTCAGCAAACTAAACACACAGCCTTCATTAACATTTTAAAATGTTTTCCCTCTTGTGGTCTTTTCCCCATGCTGTGTTGCTAGAAGTACTCAAAATGCATGATTCAGTGACATTCTGACAGGTAATCTCTAGCAACCCTCAATCTCAGGCAATAATACAATTAATGGTATCGAGTACACTGAAGAAAGAGGATACATTTTAATTACTTTCATTGCACCAAGAAGTGCTCAAGATTTTCAGTCTGGGAAGAAAAGTATTCTGACAAACATATTTGGACCTCTAATTCTCCTTATAGCCTCATTAGTTGGTATTCAGTACAGATTTCTAAATTTAATTTAATTTTCATCTGAGTTTTGCATGAACAAAGCAAATACTTTTATTTTGGCAAAAAAAGTTATTTAACATGCCACATTCTGAAGTTCATTTTGTCCTTGGACAAGTCTTAGTTAGTTTGATATAGTTTTAAATATTCTGAGTGAGAAAAAAAAGTTGAGTGGGTTTATTTGTTCTTGTTTTAGGATTGGATTATTGCACCAGAGGGCTACGCTGCGTTTTACTGTGATGGAGAGTGTTCTTTTCCCCTCAATGCCCATATGAACGCAACAAACCACGCCATTGTTCAGACTCTGGTATGCCTCTGCCTATGTTGTAGTTGCCTATTTTGCAGTTGTAAGTGTCTTGGTGCAGGGGCTGTCGCCTCCTCTCTGTTTACTAGTACTGGATTTTGATCATTTCTGGGTAAATGATAATGCATTTCAAAGACATGCTTTGATGATTATGCTGGTTAGAGGATGAACTGTTGGGAGCGGCCTGTGTGGTAGGTTTCCCTTCTATTTAAAATGCAATAACACATGAGAAGACTTTGGCATATTACTGGAGAACTGTGTAGACAGAAATCAAAGGGGCCCCCGGTCCCACTTCCAAGAGTTTTTTGCAGCTTATTGAAGCTCCATATTAACATCTACATGCTATACCTCTCAGAAATGTTGACACTTGGCCACTCTGTGGACCTCTGTTGTCAACCATTGGCAGCGATGCCTAAACTGTAATGTAATGTGAAGCTTCGCAAGCAGATGCATTTGCATGTAAGAAGTTGTGTTCAGTCATGCCTGGCTAACAAATGCAATTTATAAGTAAATGCATTTGGATCTGTTGCTCTGCCTGGTACTTGTAAAAGGGGATTTACAGCCAGCTTTCTACCTCTGCTAGTTCTTATGTTAGTCCTGTGCATCAACGGGAGCAGCCAAAAAGAGAATCTTAGATGAAGCAGCTGGCTAGGCCTCCTTTAACCCAGCAGCATTCAACTACAGTTCAGAAAACACACCACCTACAGAAATCAAGGCCTTTAAACTATGCCTAAATGTAATGTTGTGAGTCCAGTGTCTGGTCATGATTTCACCTGTGCCAGCCAGCTGAAGAACTGGCTCTGAACAGCATCAGTATTAGCAGAATGATTAAGAAGCAGAGGAATGAGGGAGTAGGAGTATGAAATCAGAACAGGAAAGCGTTGCCATCCCTAATTAGTTTCTGGAAAGGTCAAGATACTCAACTGCAATTAGAGAAACGTGGGTTTAAGGCTTCCTCTGATTTAAACTGATGATAGGAAAGTGTCCTGACCATCAGACTATGCTGATGAGTCTGTCCATGGATGGTGTTTCTTTCTTTGATTTTGACATAAAAAATCTGTGCCTGAAAAACCTTTCCCCCTTCAGAAATGAGTGCAACTATTACCCTCCTGGAGAAAACAAAACCAAAACCAAAACCCCATGCCAAAAAAACCCAGAAACAAACAAGGAAACAAACAAAGTTTGATTCCTTTCTGATAGAAAACAAATTCTGCTTGTGAAAATTGCCAATTATTTCTACACAAGAGGGACATTTTTAAAACCTCAGCATGTGCTGAGACCTTTTCCTTTCCATTCAACTTTTCATTTATGCACCTTCTCCAAGTCCAGTCACCAATGCAACATTATTCTTCTATACCAGAATTCAAGTCAGCAAGGTCTACAAAAAGAAGGGAAAATGTCAGAGGCTGGAAATAAATAGAAGTAAGGGGTTCAGGTGAAAGGGAATAGCAAATGCCGGTTGGCAAGGAATAAAGGAATGCAGCATATATGCAGTCCTGAGCTAGAAAGAAATAGGTCAGCAAAGAAATAGTTTAGCATTATGCATACATTGTCCAGAAAAGTTGCCAATATCAGTGAGATGCCCAGGTTAGAGTTCTCCCCTACAATTATGGACTATTAAATAAGAAGTGGCTCAGTGCTACTTTCTGTTGTGTGTCTACCCTTTCCAAAAATGGTTAATTTCCCATTGTTGAGAATTTTGTGTAGTTTGTCCTATTTTTTAAATTGGATACTTAAATTTTCCCTCCATTTTATGGCCTTTTTGGAATTGTGTGTCTCCCTCTGCATGTACTGTGCATGCATTCAGTTGTGCAGCCAAAAAATCATGAGGCTAATTAAATTTTAACTGCACATAAATTAGATGAGATAACAGTAGTTGAATGCTTTCTGGTTTAAATTATACAAAATTCAGATTTACACAAGGTGTGCACATGGGGATGGCTTGGGAAACAATTATTCATACACCCCACCCTAATCCAAATGTAATCATCTCCCAGCCATACTGATTACACCATTCTAAAAAAAGTCCACTCTTTGGGTTGGGAAGTGATTGTTCCTTGGTACCCCTCCAAACTTTACTGACTTTTTTTGTTTTTCTTTTGTAACAAGAATAGGAGAAATGCTGTGCCAGTACCTCTCTCTCTCTTCTTTTTCTGAGACTGAACTTAGGCAGACAGATGATACAGATGCATATAAATAGAAGACAGACTGCATTTAATGAATTATATAAGCTTTCTTCTACTCTCTTGCTTCCCATCACCCCCAGAACAGGCGTTGGGGTAGTGTTGGCCTCCTGGTCATGTGAGTCATTGGATCAGCAGGTTGACTCTCACTGACTTCCAGGCTCACTCTTGAAAAGGCAGTGAGCATCGCTGACATGCAGGGCTAGCAGGGCCCTGGAGCTCCCAGCTGGGGCTGCTGGGACCAGGAGTTACAGCACGGTAAACATCTGCCTAGACGAGGCACATGCATTCTTTTCTCCAGTGCTTTGCTATTCATTTGTTAAACTGTTTTTAATTGTGTGTCTAAACTCTTACCAAACTGCTACTTCAGGATTTATTATTGCTCATTTCAAAAGACCTTCTCATGGTAACAGTTATGTAAAAATCGTTTCCTGATAGACTGTTCTCTGTTGTCTGGCAAAGGCTCTGGGCTTATATCACTGCAAGACAGATGGCTCTAACAGATTTACAAAGACTTAACATACAAATGAAACCTATTACTGCTGAAGTCTTCATCCATGCCTTAATAATCTCTTGCCCTCTCTATTACAACTCCCTTTTTTCTGGCCTCCCCAGTTTCCAAGTCTTCAGCATGTGTAGAATATTACATCCAACCTTCTTTCAAGTACAAAGAACTCGTATTTCCCCCATTTTCAGATATTTCCACTAGATCTTGTTCATTCTGGGATGCTGTTCAAAACTCTTTTCCTTCGCTTTAACCTCTCATTGATATATTTCAGCCTAGTGAACATAAAGCCTTCTCTGCCTCAGCCCTTTCCCCAGACCTTCTGTCCAGCTGGCACCCACCTTGTGAATTGATTTTGACTTCAGTGGAAGTAGAATTGGATTCACGGATACCTAGATAAGGCCTTAAAATGCACTCATGCTGTCTGAGAACTCACATCTTACCATTTCACAGGCTGAAAAGAGTTTCAGTATGAGACTTTGCCTGCACAGCCTTTGCTGTCTGCAACAGGCTTTCCTCTATGCCGAGACCCTGACACGGGAAAGCATTTTAGCACATGCTGGGGTCCTGGTGAGACCCGGGACTTAAGCCTGTGCTTCAAGTTAAGCACTGTCCTCAGCAGAGATGGCACTGACAATACATTTAAGTGTTTTCCTGAGCAGCCACCTAACTCCAATTCTTTTCTAAATTTCATCTGAAAACCAACTTTCTGTCTTGGCTGGTCCTCCTCATTTATCTCTCCATCTGCTATTACTGTATAACTCTGCCTGTGCGACTGAAATCAGAGCAATGTTCTGGAGGTAAGCTCTCCTTTAAAGCTGCTAACTGAGGAAAATCTGTGACCACAGCACTCTCTGAATTGCAAAGACATGTTTTGCACTGACGTTGTCCTTGTACCTCTCTGTTTGATATATGAGCTATGTATTTATCTGTCTTTCAGGTTCATTTGATGTTCCCTGATCATGTACCAAAGCCATGCTGTGCACCAACAAAACTGAATGCAATCTCCGTGCTCTACTTTGATGACAGTTCCAACGTTATTTTAAAAAAATACAGGAATATGGTGGTGCGTTCATGTGGCTGCCACTAGAATAAAAAAAAATAATCTAAAGCAGAGGGTTTTATTCAGAATTGTAATAAAGTCAAGATATGAGCCTTGCTGATGAAAAGGCAGTCCTAAATTTATTCCATTTCATGTCATCTCTCATTTAAATGTACAGTATAATGTATATAGTAGCTTTTATTTATTTAAAAGTATATAGTTTCTTTTGTATGAGCAAAATTTCAAAACCATTTATTTTATGGGTCACCTTACTATGCGGTAGAACTTCACAAACTAATTTTTCAGTTGACCATACTGGAATCTATTTCATTCCATTTCGATATTTTAAAATAAAGGCTTTGTATAGATTTTTTGAAAGCTAGAAACTCCAGAACTTCTGTAACTGCTTCATATTGTTAAAGGAACTAAAATATGTTTGGTCATGTTGTGCCAATGAAAACTGTGGTGGGGTATTTATTTAGAAAAAGGCACAGAAAAAAACCTAAACAAAACTGCTTAACTAAACATATTTTTTCTTTTAGAAGTTCTGCTCCATTAGAAAAAGTGAAATGTTGAACAGTGTTTAAGTAAATAAACAGTAGATAGAAAATAGAATTGAAAAGATTGCACATAATTGTTATAAGTATTTTCTTTAACAAGATGAGTGTAACTGGAGGAGTATGTTACTTCTTGGCTTGTGGGCTGCAGAGTTTGCAAAAGGCTCAAAGCTCTGGGAATTCTGTGGAGACAGACTCTCACCTCCATTTATGACTTTCCAAGTTAACACTAAAAATTGAACTACAACATTCTTACCTCAAATTGCATCAGTCTATTATCTATTACACTGCTCCAGCAAATATTTTTATAATTACAGCACAAGGTAAAATCAAACAAAAAAACCACACAAGCCTTCCCATTATATACACAAGTTAATACATACACAAACTATATAGAAGACAGGGTATAGAAGGGCTTTGCTCTATTTAGCTCCCACTTTTGGATGTGTTTTCTGATTGTGTGAGGAAAGGCACAGGGGATGCAGCAGTTGTAACCTGTTTAATCCAAAATCTTGTCCCTGATGGTGGCTGTTTTCAGGCAAAGATGAAAAACACCTTTCATAACGAGCCATTGGGTAATTTGCAGCCTACTTTCTGTCCCATCTGATTTTCTATCAGGTGGAAATTGGTTTAAATCATGAGATGTAAGATGGGATATCTTTCCTTTTTTTTTAGCATTAACTATTATAACTTTGAAAATTCTTAAATCCATATGAATAGTTTTTAATCTCTCTAAATTTTTGGCCTCAAATGAAATCCTGTGGTTGTGAATTGCACAACTCATTACAGATTATCATTCTCACCACCACTACCCATATACTTATTTTTAATTTACCACATTTAATGTCTTTGGACACCCCTTTGTTTTAGTGTTAAGGAAATGAGAAATAGAAACTCTGTTTTCTCTTTACTACATGACTAATTATAATATATGCTTTTATAATCAATTGCCTTGATTAAAAATGCTTCATTTAAACAGTTCTCAGAGTGTTGTTAAAAAATGAATAGGACATATCGGTTTCTCCTTAGACAGTCTATTCCTGTAAACTCTGATTCCTCCGGTTATTTAAATCATATTTCAGAAAACTCAGATTATTACAGACTGATAAAATCAATGTGTGTGTGTGACTGTGTGTATGCATGTGAATGTGAAACTGTCTTTTTGCAGAAACTAATTTATTTTGTCTTGCTATTGGAGTAATACATAAATCCTTTTTATGCAAACACTCAGTTTTTTGGAAAAATTAACAGTTCTGATTTCAGTCTTGGGAACTCTTT